GAAGGCCAGAGGGCACTCTCACACTGAAACTTCAAATATGCCTCGCAGAAGAAACCCAGGAAATCCCGATAGCGGTTGCTGAATAAACAGAAGATTTAACTGCTTTCATTAATTCAACGTGACTAATAAACACACGACTACGACAATATATGGTTTTATATCTGAGTTCGTCTTATAATTTTTATTATAACAAAGTATATAATAATGCAATGCTAATCGACATAGCCTTTATCACTGCTTAGAATACTGTGAAATATGTTCCGTGCCTTATTCTGTGTAAGAAGCCACGTCATCTCACAGAAGGATTTATTTCAAACACTCGACTGACGTTATGAAGTGAGTTTGGAGTAAAAACATGTTATTAAATGTGGTATTTTCATGCGCTTTCAGATGGAGCAGCATTTACTACACAGAACCGTAGTTCACTGACAAGCTACGCAAACAGCTTTTATTATCGCAGAAAGATTTCTTCGATTTCATAATCGTGCGATTAAATCGTCTGCGATTATGAACGCGATTTTGCGTAGCTTGTCAGTGATCTACGGCTCTGTGTAGTAAATGCTGCTCCATCTGAAAGCATGTGCTGGAGATTTACTACTAATCACAGAACCAGCTTTACTGACAAGATGCGCATGACAATCACATTCGATTAATCGTGCAGCCCTAATTTCAGTATCAGGCTGTAGAGTGACTGAATCTCCCTCCATCACTGACACTGACTTCACTGCATCGAATCAGCAAACACACCTGAACAACAAACACAAACAGTCAGTAGGGCCGGATTTTACCTCTTATCGTGACATAGGCAAAACTATTTTTTGGCCCACCTTCCTCATTAATAGGCCTATATAATATTACCACCCCAGCAAACAAAAATATTTTGTAATCAGTGGAAACCGTTACAGTGTTTTCCATCGCAATAAGTGCTTGCATTCAGTCAATAAAAATCGAATGGCTTAATTTGTTTGAGAATGGAGAAAGACCATTCCATTTTATATGTTCCAGTGTCGTGGCCACATAACCACTTTGGAAGTACATTAATTCTCTAATAATTTTAACGGCCTGGTGTCACAACCACACCTCGAGATATTGTTCAGATGATTTATTTCAAGATAAACCTTCCGTTGCAAATTCCAAAACGTCATTTTAAAGCTAATAACAGAGGCTTGGGCCACTGATATGCAGTCTAATGCAGTTATTAGAGAGAGAGAGATTAAGCGCGTGTGAATACCTGCGTCTCTCAGCAGTGTTCAGCAGCAGCGTCTACTAATAGTGAATCTTTAAGTTGATCTGCTTCAAGAACCTCCCTACTGAGAAATGTCATGTAGCTTTTCAGCTGCGAAACTATTTTACTGATAAATTAAAACAGCGTTGATGACAAGTTTCTGTGCGCGTCTCCACGTATGTGCGCGTCTGTACTGTGTGTGCATCTGTGAAAGACGCCACAAACACAAACAGAACCAAAATCTGTCAAACATCTTCAACGGTTTCAGTCCACACAAACATAAAAAGACAAACTCGTCAGAACTGGTTCAGTAATGAAATGACAGATGCGCTGATGTGAGGCCGATCTGTAGTAAAGTGAAGTTAAACTCTTCTGACAGTTGAAATAGCTGAATATTTTTCCAGTGTTGATGTGTGACTGTCCAGCTTCTTTTTTTTTTGCTCATTTCACAACATGATAACTTGACCGCTTTGAGCTCCAGTAAGCTGCAGCTTCTTGCAGATCATTTTCAACAGAAATAAACTGACCCCATAACATGATCAGTGTCTAGAGAAGTTAAAAGTGTCTTAAAGCAGCGTTTGATCCTGAGATCCTGAGAGTGTTTGGCTCTGCTCTCTCCTGTAACTGTCTTCAGCTCGTTTGTCGTTCATTTCTTATCAAATGTCTCAATTGTTTCTCTTCTCAGACTGATTTCAGAGCTTCTCAAATGGCTTTATGAATCATGAACAGATCACCTGCTAGAACTGTGTGGAGAAAAGTGTTCTCTCATATTTTCAGATGATGTTTTGTATGGAGAGGAAGTCAGAATGTTTGGTTCACATAAACAGGAGAGAAAATTAAGCCTTCAAACTACTGACAGATACACTGACCGCATTCATCTAATAATAAACATGCTGATGTCAGATGAACAGATCAAACCACATTAGATATAAATATATCAGAACACATGAGATCTCTGGTTTTTGATTGCAGACTTTGGTATTTTGGCAAATCTGAGCAAAATAACTCTTTGAAGCACGTGTGAGTTTATCTTGGTCTTTACTCCTGAAGAAGTGTAGTGTTATGTCCCAACAAGTTGTTGTTGTTGTTTTAGTCTTACTAATTTATTATTTTCTGGTTTACAAAATGTGTGGGTGTGGTCATGTGCCCTGAGTCTGTGTTGTGCTTGGTCTCTCTCTCTCTCTTTCACTCACTCTATTCCCTCTCAGGCCGAATCACCACTACCTGTAGCTCATTATGAGAGCGTACCTGAGACAGGCCCTGCGTTCCATTCAGAAGGGTTCATCCCTATGCCCTAATCCCTTCAAAGGGTTTACCCTCCGGAGTGAAAGCTTCAGCAGTTCATCAGCAGCAATCATCAGTAGTTATGACAAAACCACTTGAAACGTTAATTTTCTGCATTTTGCTTTAGATTTCAATTGTTTCTGAAAAAGATGAATATATATATATAAAGCCATAAATTAATAAATCTCATAAATATTTACATATGCAAAAACAAAAAAGTTTGTAAGAAATTACATCAGTTATAGCCCTATAGCTATATATAGCTCAGTCAATAAGCACTAATATCAGCTCTAATATCAGCGCTGCTGTACCTGAACATGTGTGACAGAGTTGACTGATGTCCAGATGTTGAGTCTGGTTGCTGATGGGATTGTTGAGCACACAGCTGTAGCTGTTTTTATCCTGATATTCCACCTCCAGAGGTAGAGAGAGACTGATGCTGAGATCAGACACACTGATGCTGGACAATAAACTGTTTCCTTTGTACCAGGAGAGAGTCACATGACCCACATTCAACACTGAACACACCAGTGAACAATATGATGATGAAGATGATGATGAAGAGCAGTTTGAAGAGTTACTGCTGATGACAGGAACCGGCAGACGAGCTGAAAACATGAGCGAATAGAGATAAATGGGGATGAATGAAGATTTTCAAATAGACGAGGAAGAAACACAGAGAGCAACCAAGACTGATCAAAAAGGCATTTTAAGAACAAATTTGATAAAGTTAAATCATTGCATTGCGTATAATGCATATAGGGAAAACTCCGGTTTTACTGAAGCCTAAATTGTTCACGTTTGTGTAGCTGCAAAGGCATCAGAACTCGACAGAGTCTCAACATTTCCTGACCCGACCTGATATTTTGATTTTGTTTTATTAGTTTGACAGGGAAAGCTGTGCGCAAGCAGAAACACACACACACGCACATATATACATATATTAATTTATTTAAATAAATAAATAAATAAAAAAACACTCCCCAGAAAAAAGGGCACTTTCTCTCGAGGAAGAAAAAGGGCAGGTGCTCAAGCCCCCTTTGATGTCTATGTGTGCACATGCCTGATCCTTTCTGACTAATATAACCAGTAATTTATTACATGGTACCAGAACTGAAGCAAACGAAGCCATAAAAACACATTTCAAACTCACCAACCAGACGCCACAAACTCAACCAGAACAAAACTAATTTGAGAAACATTTCCTTCATCAATTCACTGTAAAGCCCACAATAGTGATGCTTAAAATGTCTGAAAACACTCTGAAACATGACTGAACTTTAATATTTATCTGGCTGTGACCTCAGTCACAGTTTCCGCTCCCACGTCCATCTCCTTTATCATGAAAATCAACAAGCTTTTGCTGATCTCACATTTTCAAATGAATTCCCTGCATGAAAACTAACATCAGGAGTGTTATTTACTAACTACTTGTTTTCTAAAAAAAAAAAAAAAACACTAGCTTCTCTAATGTTTTTGTATTTTTATTTGTTTACTTTTTATTTATACAATTAACAAAAGCAAAAAAGGCCTCTAACACTAGCTTGCTCTATTCTTTTTCTATTCTATACATTTTCTTTCTATTTATTATATAATTAAAAAAACCTTGCTACGTGTAGGCGTTAAGCTAACTGAGAATTATAGCACTTGCGTATCATTGCTCTTTTGTTGATTTTGATTGCTTTGTCCTCATTTGTAAGTCGCTTTGGATAAAAGCATCTGCTAAATGACTAAAAGTAAAGATGGCGACAATCACCCATTCAAAATCAAATCTATTTGCCGCCTTTGCCTTTGCTTTCAAGCAATATTGGACTTCTTTTTTTTTTTTTAGATGGAGATAATAACCATTTGAAACCAACATAGTTTTATGATTATGACCTGGATTTAAAAACAAACAAGCAAACAAACAAAAAACCTTGAATTAACATGACATGAATTAACATACAACACAACACAAATCATGTCAAACATGAACAAATGACTACAAAGACAACACATAAGCAAATAAGACACCAGGAAGAGAACATGAGACACATGAGAAAACAACTAAACAAAACCTACTAATAAAAGACAAACCCTTTACAGCAACATGCATCCATGATGTTTAAGGTTCATTGCGTGAATATCATCAAATCTGGCAGTAAACTACAGTACAAGCACAATATATAATTTGATGTAAAAAAGTATAAAGAGCTATACAAGTCGCCGTCTTTTTGTGTGTATTGATGGATTGGATTCAAAATGATGAATTAAAATAATGGAAAAGGCAATGAAGTACTTTGAAAGTTGAAGAGAAACTGAACAGCGTCAACACTGGTGCTGGACGGAATGAAACAGAGCCCAGACACCATCTACTTTCACTCTTAAAACACTGATTCAGCGCAAGTTATTTATCGATTTATTGTTTTAAAGTAACTGGACTCAGCCAGAGTAGGTTCTAATCTAATCGCGTCCTGATTGGTCCCGCGTAAATGTGCCGCGGTCCCTTTAAGCGCGACTCCATTTTTCGGCGATTTTTATCAAAGTTCCTGAACAATTTGAACGCTCCGAATCTACTCCCGAGTTCATCAACGAGCTGAATCTGGATTAACGGAAGAATTTAAGCAGTTATTCGGCTGACATCAAACACCGAAACTACCTACCATTAGGCTATCATTGTTATTAGCATCATCTTTTCCTCAGCAGCAGAGTTTGGATCAAACCGGATCAGCATCTACAGACATGTCGAGTGAGTCCAGAACAACGAAACTCTATGAAAGCATAATTCTGCATAACTACACACACACAACTGTAATACACGAGTCTTCAGTTTTCTGGTAACTACCGCTGTTTACTCTCGACTCAAGTTCATCTGCGGATCTGTAGCTAATTGATGTTTTCATTGTTTGGCACTTCTGCATTTGACTGGACTCGCGTTAATGATTTCTTCAGTACCAGGTTTTGTGTGTGTGTGTGACTTAATTCGCGTCCACAGCAGATCAGAGGAGCTAAACGGAACTGTTTTCCGATCAGGCGGATGTTTAACCAGGTCAAAGTTCCCAGTTTTATGGAGCTGAAAGTCCGCATGAACAGCAGATCTGATTATTATCGCTTCCTCTCGAGCGAAACTCCCGCTATCAGCGCTTTATTGCGTTGTGTTGACCGTGTCGCATCACTGTTGCCAACTCTCGCGAGACAAATCATCAACAACAAGCCCACTATTATTTGATTATTTATTACCATCAATTTGATTTATTATCACATATTACCAAAAAATGAGCCTGCAACATATTAAACTGAAACCACTCTTTTATTTGAATCTATTTTCTTTAAAATTTAGCCCTCTAACACTTACTCTTTTTGCTATTTCTATACTTACTGCTTGTTTTTGTTTATTTATTTTTTGCTTCTTTGTCATTTTAATTTATATATATATATGTATATATATATATATATGTGTGATAAATAAAATATAAAAAAAAATATATATATATTTATGCACAATTAATTTTATATATATTATTAAATTTTTATATATTTTATATTAGCTTTTTTATGTTTGCTCTTAAACTGAACAAAACGCATTTCAGTTAATTTTATATATGTATGTATGTATTTATTTATGTTAGGTATTTTTATTTCTAATTTTAATTTTTAATGCACAATTCTTTTTAAAATTTTGCATCTTTTTTTAATTTTACAAGTAGATCATTTATGAAATCCATTTTATTTATTTATATGTATATTTTTCATTTTTAATGCACAATTCATCTTAATTTTTCCCCCCCAAAAAATAGCTTTTAATCTGAACAAAACGCTCAAGTCGTTTTAGAAACCTCTACATACTGCAGAAACAGTATGCTAGCCTGCCACTGGAACACACTCTCTCTCTCTCTCTCTCTCTCTCTCTCTCTCTCTCTCGCTCTCTCTCTCAGTGATGTCATTCTTGCTGCATGGTTACTGCAGCAACAGATCAAAATGAGGCTGAGCATGTTGTGGGGGAATCCTAAGCCCCTCCCCTCTGCTGATGTATGAAGGGAGTGGCTCCGCCTCCACCTCTGCGCTAAGAGATCCCCAAGCCCCGCCCCCTGTGCATGTCTTCCTGCTCTGATAAGAGAGTCTCCTAGCACCCGTCCCCTCTCTCTCTCTCCATCTGTCCCGTGTGCAGACGGACGGTCGGCAGCATGTCGGACCCCAGCGCAGCTCCGGCGCAGAGCAAAAGCAAAACTAAACCCTGCAAGAGAGGCAGTTTACACAGCAGGACCAGCCCAGGTGAGTCCCGCCGCAGAGGGGAGACAGACAGGCTGAGAGAGAGACGGGGTGGGGTGTGATGGGGACCATATCTTCAGAGCAGTTCAGGCCAGTTTGGAGTTTGTTTTCTTTTTGAGTGCTTTTTTACTCCGCAAAACGGATGCAATATTAAAATGAATATTTATTAAATATAATTTTTTTAACTGTGTTTTTTACATTTGAATTAAATCATTTAAAATGTATTTACTAATCTCCGTTGCACTGGTCAAACACGTGTGAGGTGAGTTAGTGAAGGTCAGTGTTTCTGTCTGAGCTCAGAACAGAAACGGACAACTTTCATCATTTTCCAGTCAGTTTTGTTCGCTTCGTCCCGAGCGCATCAATATATTAATGAAAAGTGCGGAGTGCAGGAATGTGGGGTTGTGGGTAAGTGTTGGTCCAGGCGTGTGACGTGAGAGCTCATGAATTACACAGGAGCCTGTACCTGCAACCTTCTGGTTTATCTGAAAGAGACGAGAATGCAACGATTTCAAGACAATTCCGTTAATAGCACAACAATATATGAGTCTAGAATAAGTCTCGGTGTTGACTCATTGCACCAACAAACAAACAAACAAACAAACAAAAATGTAAATCATTCAACTAATGAAAACAAATAAGAGAAAACATTTCACAATCAAAAACTTTTGTAAGCATTTAGATCACAAAACTTTAAAGTTAAATATAAATGCATAAACTACTACTACTACTAAAAATAATAAATAAATACTAAAATCATAATAAATTACAGTGTTAATATAAATAATAAAACAACGCAATATAAAAACAACATAAATAAAATAAATAAAACAATATGTAAAAAAAATAAACGTGTAAACCAATAAACACAAAATGTGTGAGAAATGCATATTTTAAGCTTAAAGATTTGACAGTCCAAAACAGATGAAAATTTATTTTTTCTTTAACATTTAAATATAACTTCATAAATACTACTACTACTATTAAAAATAATAAATGCATACTAAAATAATAAAATAAACAACAAAATATAACAACATATAATGCATATCGTTTTAATTGTTGTAGTCTAATGATTATTAGTAGAATTAAAACAAGCACACATATATATTATATATAAATTATATATTTTTTTATTCTTTAAAATATTTTTTAATTGTTATATAATCTTAATGGACCTGTACTGGACTTTACATACAATATTTATTATTATTACACAACAAACCGTTTTGTATTTCTGTTGTAGAGCTCCATCTGCTGGATGAGTGTGTGTGTGTGTGTGTGTGAGAGTGTGTGTGTGTGTGTGTGTGTGAGAGAGTGTGTGTGTGTGAGCTATAGTCTTATCAGGCTGAAGGCTTTGAGAGTTTAAAGTACAGTTAATCACAGAGATCAGTTAATATCACACACACTCACCCGTCACATTATGACACCTACAAATTATTAGTCTCCTGCTGTTCTGCGCCTTTAAGACTGAAACACACACACACACACACACACACACACACACAGAATGAACACAGATCTCTCGTTAGCAACACAATGTGTGCGTTCAGCTTCTAAATGTGTTCTCTGTGTGTGTGTGTGTGTGTGTGTGTGTTTCTAAAGCTCAGTCTAGACACTGGGTTACAGACAATTTATTTCACTCAGCTTATTCTGCTCAATAACCGCCTGCATACACAGTAAAAGACTGAAATAGAACAGCCAATCACAGTCGTTCAGGGCTTATCTGAAACAGAATAATATGTCAGTTTGTGATTGGTTGTATGGAAACTAAAATAAAAATAAACAATAAAAAAAAAAATGGCTTAAAAATTTAAAAGAGCCATAAATTGTAATTTGCAGATGATATTTCTGAATTAAATCCTTTAAGGCATGTCCATTCACTCGGTGGCCATCTTATATTTGGTTGAAAACACCAAAATATGAAGAAAATTTCCAAAAAAGTGACTTTTTTAATGCATTAAAAAGACTTTAGAAAACTCTAGTGAAAATAATTTCTAGATGTGCAACAAAACACCACGTTACAAAAATATATATCAATAGAAAATTTTTAAAAGAAAAAATGATGTATACTAATAAACACTACTACTAATAGAGATAATATTAAAGAAAAATAACAAACTTCAGCGAATCATTTTCTAGATGCTCATAAAAAAAGTCACATTATTTAAATTCAAATGAGAAAAATCTGTCAACAAATTCTTCTAAAACTCCGATCACACAAATAAAACTATTTTTAGGGTAGATTGGCTAATGTGCATTTGAGTAAAGAGACGTGTGATTGGCTCGTTTGACTGAGAGGCGGGGCTAATAAATGCTACAATAATAAAACGCATAGAAAAAAGTAGTTCTAAAATAATACAATATTAATATAGATAATAAAACGACTCAATATAATAACAATTTTAATAAAATAATAAATAAAATATATAATATAATATTGAAATATGATAATGTCGTATTTAAAAATAAAAAAATATATATAAATATACATATACACGCAAATAAAACTATTTTTCAGGCTGGTGTGCGTTCTGGAGTAAACAGACACGCGATTGGCTTGTTCCACTGAGAGTCGCTTCATTTCTCTCCTTTCCTTCTTGAATAAAATGTAAAGTAATGAGGTCACGTGACTACAGTGTAGCGCACTGCTTGTGCACAAGTACACACTACAGAGTATGTGCTGCTGTGCTGCACAGTACGCTAGTGCTGCATTGGGACACACACACACAGACAGAGGTGTGTTCATGCTGGTTTTCCCAGGATTCCACTGTAAACACAGTGGGGTTTAAACACACAGTGGTGCATCCCGCCACCAAACCCCCCCCCACCTCCATCTGCAACATGGTATGAGCCAAACACGAGTGAACCCGAGTGTCCCGACACACACTGAGAGAGAATCGCTGCAGGGAGAGACAGACACACACACACACAGCTGGACAGGAAGTGCTTGTTATCCTGAGCATCCCAGCAGAGATCAGACTACATGCAGGTACTGCACACATTACACACAGTTACCACACTCATTACGCACACGCATCCTGTCAGCTCTGCATGCGGCTCTCTGTATCCATGTGTGTGTGTGAGATGGCTTTATTTGCACTGGGCTGAGGTGTTTTAAATGGAATGTTGTGGAACGCATGTCACATGATCACCTTAAAGTCACATGATGAGTCAAACTCCTCAGTGTTTTGACAGGAAAATTGTTGTTTCAATGCCAATTTTATAACTGTCACTCTCTCTATATTCATTCATACATACATACATACATACTGTATATACATACCCATCTTTTTACCCATTTTACTAATAGGCGCCTTACATAACACTCAAGGACACATTACATTGAAACAATCAACCTTAAACAACAATCAAGCGTAGCGTTAGTTCTGGCAGGTCACGTGACTCTCAGCTGATCACCATCTACCTATGGGAATACGACACCTATCTAAGCATTCATATATAAGGTCCCTCAGTATTATCAGCAGTTTTCGCATTGCTCAGTAGCTAATTACCCTCCTCCATCCCCAGCTCCTCCTCTGTCAGTCGGGATTCAGCCTTCTGATTCTCCTTTGAATCAGACTAATTCTAAAATGTGTACATAACATTATTGAACTTTAACGACATCTGCAACACATTTATGTTGGTTCTGTTCTGTTTACCCTAGGGGGGGGTTATCGCTGCTCTCCCTGCTCTCATCCATGCTAGGCTGCATGGATGCGCAGGGAGTTCTTGCCCAAAACAGAACCATACTGCCAATCCAAACTGTATGCTAATTGTCAATCATATTTGACGATAGTGGTCCTGACAGAAATAATAATTACAGCCTAAACAGACCTAATACGATCATACAAGCAATCACATAAAATCCTGCCTAAAAAGATGGGTCTTAAGGCAACATTTTAAAAAAAAAGTGTCGGACTGTAGATATGAAGAAGGTCAGATAAGTATGAAGGAGCAAGATTAGTAAGTGCCTTGTAAGTAAGGAGAAGGATTTTAAATTCAATACGGTATTTAACCGGGAGCCAATGCAAGTGTTGTAACATGGGAGTAATGTCTTCAGTATTAGGAGTTCTGCAAATAATTCAAGCAGCTGAATTCTGTACGAACTGAAGTTTATGGAGAAGCTTTGAAGGCAGACCACAAAAAAAAGAGCATTACAGTAATACGGGAAGTGACTGAAGCATGAACAAGGATCACTGTGCTCATTACCCGAAAGAGCTGGGCGAAGACGATTAATATTATGTATGTGGAAATATGTGGAGCAAATAACACTATTTATATGTGCTTCGAATGATGAAGTACTGTGAAAGATGACACCCAAACTTTTAACCGGTTTAGACACAGACACTGGAAAATTGTAAATATTCACTGAGGAACATTTAGACTTGGCCAGATTGGTTTTTGAGCCAACAAGAAAAATGTCAGTCTTACTACTATTTAGTTTAAGAAGATTTGATGTAAACCACTCTTTAATCTCAGCTATACAATCTGAGAGGATAGACGGAGGAAAAGTAGAGGTGGGTTTGGAGGATAGGTACAGTTGGGTGTCATCAGCATAACAGTGGAACTGAATGCCAAATTTCTTTAAAAATATTACCAAGAGGTAGAAGATAAATAAGAGAGGACCCACAACTGAGCCCTGCAGAACCCCAGTAGTAACATGAAGGCTTTGATGTAAACTCCTTCAACTGTACACATTGAGTACGACCCCTTAGATAAGATCGAAACCAAGTCAGGGCAGTGTCCATGATTCCAATAGACTCCAATCTGTCCAACAAAATACTGTGCGAGATAGTATCAAATGCTGCACTCAAATCAAGCAGAACAAGTATAGATAGAAGTCCTGAATTAGCAGCTGCCAATAAATCATTGGAAATCTTAACTAATGCAGTCTCAACACTATGATGTGAACGGAAGCCAGATTGAAATTGCTCATACAAACTATTATCATAAAGATGATCCTGGACCTGGGCTGGATTTTAAATATCAAAATTAAGTTTAATTGAAGACTTAAATTTTCATATACTTCTTTATATAATACACGGAGAGAAACAAAAATTGATAGGAAATGTAAAAGAAAAAAGTACTTGGACTAATAAACACTAATAATAAATAGTGCTAATAATAAAGACAGTTTAATAAATAAACAGTTTTGAAACATCATATATTTCTTGTGCAGAGCACAAACGACTAGATAGAAGTCCTGAATTAGCAGCTGCCAATAAATCATTGGAAATCTTAACTAATGCAGTCTCAACACTATGATGTGAACGGAAGCCAGATTGAAATTGCTCATACAAACTATTATCATAAAGATGATCCTGGACCTGGGCTGCAGCAATCCTTTCCAGTATTTTAGAAAAGAAACAGTAAATTTTAAATATCAAAATTAAGTTTAATTGAAGACTTCAATTTTCATATACTTCTTTATATAATACACAGAGAGAAACAAAAATTGATAGGAAATGTAAAAGAAAAAAGTACTTGGACTAATAAACACTAATAATAAATAGTGCTAATAATAAAGACAGTTTAATAAATAAACAGTTTTGAAACATCATATATTTCTTGTGCAGAGCACAAACGATATTTGAAGAACGTTATATGGACATTGTTTTGGCTTTCTTTGTACAGACAAAACCCCCAGATGTTTTTCAAAATATCTTGTATTATTTAAGTGGTTTTTCATCAATATATTACTGTTTTCTGATTCATCTTAGATTTGTTTCTAATGCACAACTGAGTGCACTGCAGTGTGAGTGTGAAGCGTCTGTTACTGACACTGATGAATGAGTGTCATCTGTACATGAGCTCTGTGCTTTAATAATGAGAATCAGACACTCCGGCTCATACTGTATGGGATGGTTTCCACACTGAATGCTGCACTGCTGTCATGAATGACTCTGACAAAAACCAGCCAGTTAGTCGGTCAATTTATTCTGCTAAATGTTTCTAAGTAGATACTAAAGCTTTGCTAGGGTGTTGTTCCTGGTTGCTGTGCGGTTGCTAGGGTGTTCTAGATGATTGCTAGAGCGTTACTAGGTTACTAGGGCACCGTAGATGGTCGCTGTGTGGTTGCTATGCGTTTTTTTCTTCTTGTCTGGTGTGAGTTGTCTCAGTGATCCTCTTGTCTGTAGTCTGACTCGGGTCCCTCCTTCTGTGTGTGGAGTTTTTTTTTTGTATTGTCCAGCAGGTGAAAATTGTGAGTGAACACAACTATGAGCACCAGTACCAGTGACTGATATTAACAGCACTATTATTAGCATCTTTAATAACTGTGTGTGTGTGTGTGTGTGTGTAGATCTGTGTGGCTCTGCTGACGTAAGGCCTTTGATGTCCCAGCGCTCTCTGCCCGGCACACCAGTCACCCACAAACACCTGCCTATCGACCTGCGCACATCCATGGACGGCAAATACAAGGAGATCGCTGAGGTGTGTGTTTGTAATGTGTGTGTGTGTGATTGTAATGTGCGAGGTTGTAACGTGTGTAACGTGTATGATTGACACGTGTGTGTGTGTGTAACATGTATGATTGTAAGGCGTGTGTAATATGTGTGTGTTTGTAACGTGTGTGTGTGTGTGATTGTAATGCGTGTGTGTTTGTAATGTGTGTGTGTGATTGTAATGTGCGAGGTTGTAACGTGTGTAACGTGTATGATTGACACGTGTGTGTGTGTAACATGTATGATTGTAAGGCGTGTGTAATATGTGTGTGTGATTGTAATGCGTGTGTGTTTGTAATGTGTGAGTAACATGTATGATTGTAATGCGTGTGTAACGTGTTTGTAACACGTGTATGTAACGTGTGTGTGATTGCAATGCATGTGTGTTTGTAACACGTGTGTATGTAAACTGTGATTGCAACACACATGTATAATTGTAACGTGTGTGTTTGTAACGTGTATGTAATGTGTGATTGTAACACACATGTATGACAGTAACGCATGTGTGTGTTTGTAATGCACACATGTTTGTAGTGTGTGTGTGTTTGTAACATGCATATGTGTTTATAACGTGTGTTTGTAACATGTGTTATTGTAACGCGTGTATGATTGTAACAAGCATTTGTAACGTCTGTTCGTAACACGTGTGTGCGTTTGCTCTTCAGCATGAAGTGTGCTTGTAACATGTATGTGTGTGTAAAACGCATGTGCAGGAGCTGCTGGCGAGGAGTCTGACGGACAGCGACATGCGTTGCGCTCCGTACGAGTTTCCTGAAGAGAGTCCTATTGAACAGCTGGAGGAGAAACGCCACCGTCTGGAGCGACAGATCAGTCAAGACGTCAAGTACAACACACACACATCCTAACTGTAATGTAGTTGTGTAATGCAACAAATGTTTTTGCGCACACTGAAAGCCAATCAGAATATATTTCATGTTTAAGGTTAATTTACGTGAATTGAGATTTTGGAATAAAATATTTAACACAAGTACATAATAAAAAAATATAAAAACATTGTAAAGTAAAATAAAAAAATAAAAAATAAAAGGGGAATATTATTAATCTTAAAGATATGTATTAATAATTTTGGTAACATTATTTATTATTAATAATAAGATACTTTCAATTGATTTATTAAGCTGTAATTATAAGCATATAATGTGTTAAATAAACTTAAAAATAAAGCAACTTTCCCTTCCAACTGTGATCCTAAAGATCTTTAACTGAGTCGTTAGACTGATTTTTGTAAGCATATTTCAGAATATTTTAAGTCTTCTATTCAGGCAAAATTATGTTTTGAGAAGTTTCTGAAAGTCAAAAAATCTTTTGTTTGTGATACTTTGGCCTGGAGTGTATTATAATGTCTTTGCACCTGCTCAGGCATTTTGTTTGTGATCTGTGTGAATTCTTTGCTTTGAACACACTGACCCAAAACACCCAACAAATACCGCAGACGTTCATAATCGCACACAGACACAACAGGCCACAGTTTGGCCGCGTTTCAGGCGTTTGTGTGGGTGTGTTTGGGTTTGTGTCTCTTACAGATGCTTAAACATACACTCTTTCTGCTCGGGTGGAGAGTTTCAGATTCCCTCTGCTGCATTTTAAATGAAAGTTCTTTAGAAAAATCAATCCGAGTGATTTATACTCTCTCCTCTTGTGTGTGTGTGTGTGTGTGTCCTTCACATCCTTCAAGGCTTGAGCCCGAGATTCTGCTGCGAGCGAAACAAGACTTCATGAAAATAGACAGCGCTGCAGACCTGGAGTGAGTCACTGCCGTCCGTCCGTCTCTGTCTGTCCGATCCTCCGTGTATTTCATCTCATGTGTCCGTCTGCAGGTATCTGAAGGACTGTCATGTGGACGAGGTGGACCTGCATCATATGGAGACACTTGTGGAGAAAAACTTCCAGCGCGTGTCCATCTCAGGAGAGGAGAAGTGTGGGGTGAGAACCAGAGAAACCAGCTTCAGTTAGTTTGCGTGAAAAAATGACAATAAAACAGAGAAATACATTTTACAGCACTCATTACTGTATATGTACTAATACATTTAAGTGCAAATTAACCTCAAGTAGTATTTTTGTAGCACTTTTCACAATGTTAATAATACTAAAAGCAATCTACTGAATACAAACACATAATATTTTAACTTTTAACAAAATTCTTGCTAGGTGTGAATCTTCCATTTGAATTATGAATTTAAGGAAGTAGAATTAAAAGAAAATGACGAAATTTCAGTATCACTTAAGAAATCCTTGACTGAAGTGAGAAATCAATAAATCATTTGAAAACAACATGAGAAAAAAAATCAAGCGAGCAATCAGTTATTAACATGTGAATAAATATTTGATAAATCGTGATAAAATCAGTTTAGTCTTAAGTTTTTTTTTGTTAAAAAATATATAATTTTCTTCATTGAAATTGCTGAAGTTGAAACATTAGATGGAAAACTTAAATTGCTATTCAAACTGAAATTTAGTTAATGTAGAAATTACTAATAAAACAAATCTGTATCAGCATGATTTTCATACAGAAAAAGTCTTCCTCTAACTTCTCTAAGTTTTGTTCTTTAAAAATTCTAAATAGTAAGTTTTCTCAGTTTTTTCAAAGTTCTCTAAGCTTTTGTTCTTTAAAAAAATCTTGATATTAAGTTTTCTCTAAGTTTTTGTCTTTAAAAACTTGTTTCTCTGAGATTTTTTCTACATTCTCAATGTTTTGTTCTTTAAGCAGTTCTTAATATTGAGTTTTTCTCGAAGTCCTGTAAGTTTTGTCCTTTAAAAAATCTTAATATTAAGTTTTCTCAGTTTTTTCAAAGTTCTCTAAGCTTGTGTTCTTTAAAAAATCTTGATATTAAGTTCTCTCTAAGTTTTTGTCTTTAAAAAAGTTTTTTTCTACATTCTCAATGTTTTGTTCTTTAAGCAGTTCTTAATATTGAGTTTTTCTCGAAGTCCTGTAAGTTTTGTCCTTTAAAAAATCTTAATATTAAGTTTTCTCAGTTTTTTCAAAGTTCTCTAAGCTTGTGTTCTTTAAAAAATCTTGATATTAAGTTCTCTCTAAGTTTTTGTCTTTAAAAAAGTTTTTTTCTACATTCTCAATGTTTTGTTCTTTAAGCAGTTCTTAATATTGAGTTTTTCTCGAAGTCCTGTAAGTTTTGTCCTTTAAAAAGTTCCTAAAACTACGTTTCATCTAAGTTCTACGTCTTGCTCTTTAAATTTTATAAATATTAATTAGGTTTTCTCCAAGTTTTCCAAGTTTTGTTCTTTAAAAGTTTGTTAATGTTAAGTTTCCTCTCATTTTTGAAAGTTTACTACTTTAAAAAAAATCTTAACGTTAAGTATCTCTAAGTTCTTTAAATATTCTTAGTATTATTTTTTTCTCTAAGCTTGTTCTTTAAAAAAATCTTGATATTAACTTTTCTAAGTTTTTGTCTTTAAACAACTTTTTTTCTACATTCTCAATGTTTTGTTCTTTAAAAGTTTGTTAATGTTAAGTTTCCTCTCATTTTTGAAAGTTTACTACTTAAAAAAAAATCTTAACGTTAAGTATCGCTAAGTTCTTTAAATATTCTTAGTATTATTTTTTTCTCTAAGCTTGTTCTTTAAAAAAATCTTGATATTAACTTTTCTAAGTTTTTGTCTTTAAACAACTTTTTTTCTACATTCTCAATGTTTTGTTCTTTAAAATTAGGGATGCACGATATATCGGCCACCATATCGGTATCGGCCGATAAATACTAATTTTTTCTGTTATCGGTATCGGCCTGATAAGAAAATTTGGCCGATATCTTAAAGCCGATAAATAATGCATTATTTCCTTCAGAGACACTTCAGATGCGCGCTGTTCGTTTGCAGCCTTTTGTGCAATTGTACATTGTAATATTGTGTTTATTTGATGTATATCTGATTTATCTCATATAGAATGCGTTTGGTTAAGTTAAAAGAATCGGTTATCGGTATCGGCCAAAATTTTCATATCGGTGCATCCCTATTTAAAATATAAAAAATTCTTAATATTACGTTTTCTTTAAGTTGTCAAATTTAAGTTAGATATCTTATTGCTGTAAAACAGGACAAATGCACTGATTCTAGATGGATTCTTGTGACGTTTGTGTGTTCAGGTGCCGTTCACGGATCTGGTGGATGCAGCGAAGTGTGTTGTGAAGGCCTTGTTCATCAGAGAGAAGTACATGGCTCTGTCTCTGCAGACCTTCTATAAAACCACTGGACGATCCCTGCAGGAGCTCAGCCAGAGACCGCCGGACATCGACGCATACGAGGACCTTCACGAGAGTCCGGTTGACTCAGGTGTGTGTGAGCGCTTCGACATGTGTGCAGAACCTAACACAAACCAGCACTTATGTGTGTGTGTGTGTGTGCGTGTGTCTCTCAGACATGTCCGTTCACGCGCCGGTGTCAGAAACGCACCCGTACGAGGGGCAGGACATGAAGAACCTGCCGCCGGACGCTGGATACAGCTGCAAGATGGTGGATGGAGTCATTCACGTCTACACCGCACAAAACCCCATGGACAAGTGAGTTTCGGGGACAAACCGACTGCAGACGTCCTCTGAATTAGCTAAATTTAGCTAAACCTCCTTTTGGGGACGTCCTCGAAAGGAAAAATGGGTCATGAAGACACATGAGTCTGTTTCAAACCCTCGTCTACATGAACAGAAATACACTGGAAAAAAACATGGTGCAGAAACGGTTCTCACTCAGAAAATGCTAGTACATCTCACAATTAATTACAAAGAAACAGAAAGGAAAGCATTGAATTCAATGTAAAATTTTGACGTAAAAAGACTGAAATAGGTATTTTTTTCTTGTAAAATGAACTCCAGTGTTCTTAAAAAAAATCTTTATTTTACCATGAAGAAGCAAACAAGTAAATATCCAATAAACAATAACAAAAATATGACTGGGTTTGTTGAATCTAGCAATACATTATTGCTCTGAATAGCTGTTCTAAATAATATAATTGTTAAATACATTTATTTTGTAAATAGATCTATTTATATGTTTTTAAATAAATGTTCTTGTAAGAATAAACTAAATTTCACTGCACACAACACAGTGCATTCTGGGATTGGCAGTCAGGATGCCAAATTTCAATGCAAATTTTAATTTAATAAAGTAGAATCAGTGTTACTATTGTTAACTAAAATTTAACAATTAAAAAACATATTTATGTTAATTGAAAAGAAAAAGAAAGTATAAAAACTCGTAAGCATGTTTGATTCTATGCAGGGTTATTATCGTTAACTATAAATAAAACTATTAAAAAAATTGTTAAATTTTTTTTTTTTTTAAACTAACTGAAATAAAATATTTTTAAAAATATTCTAAAATGTTTCTTTTAGTTTAAGTTCTAAAATTACAACAACAACAACAACAAAAAAACGAAATGGGCATATTTAAAAAAAAAAAAAAAAAACTAAACCAACAAAAACAACAAATTACTCAAACTTAAAGTAAAATTAAAATGAATACAGAAAATATAATTCATAAAATAACGATTGTGTTGATACAAAATGATAAATGATACTAAAATAACACTCGAGTAGAAGCAAATTGAACCGAAATTCAAAGAAATGTAATGCCAATTAATAAATCAAATCAATACATCTAGAAAATCAATTGAAAAAAACAACAAAAATAATCAGTAATACAAAAATTACATTTAAATGTAATTTTCAATTTGAAAATGCTAATCTTCAAACAACAAAAAATGTCTTCATGACAGGAGTGTGTGCATATATGATGCCTAAAGACACTCACTATGTAGACGACTCGCTAGGGTTGAAACGGGGTTTGTCTCTTCATTCACTGCTAAAAGTGTCTTAGTCTTTAGCACTTAAGTGTGGCTTGACAAAGACGTCTGTGTTGAAATGATCCGCAGGAGCACCGAGCTGGACCTGCCGTATCCAGACCTGCAGGAATACATCGCCGACATGAACGTGATGATGGCGCTCATCATTAACGGCCCCGTGTGAGTGACTCGTTTCCCAGCATGCACTGGGCTCGGCGTACGTGTGCTCGTTCGACCGTGTCTGATGTGTGCGTTTCTCTGCAGGAAGTCGTTCTGTTACCGGCGGCTGCAGTATCTGAGCTCCAAGTTTCAGATGCACGTCCTGCTGAACGAGATGAAGGAGCTCGCCGCGCAGAAGAAGGTGCCGCACAGAGACTTCTACAACATACGCAAGGTGACGCATGCCTTCAGTTAGCTGAAGTTATTTACTGTAAACCACAGTGGAGCCGTTTCGGACAGGTGCTCATCCCGTTTAAGGTAGTAATAACCATTCAAATCATTAAATCGACTGAGAAATAGATTAGCAACATATGTATGAAGAGATTAAAGAATCTGCAATCTGATCATCAAAAATATATCATTATGTACATACGTAAATATGCTGAATGAAAGTAGAATATCAGTGTAGAGTATTAGAATATACAAATATTTTTAAAAATAGAATAGAATAAAATTTGCTAGTATAGAAATAATCATCAACATGAAAGTAGATGAATTGAATATTTTTTAATAAATGATATAATCACAAATGTAATAAATGTGTAATGTATATAATACTAATTTATAATAATTGTAATAATAATTTATGCATTTAGCAGACGCTTTTATCCAAAGCGACTTACAGTGCATTCAGGTTATACATTTTGTACCAGTATGTTAAAAAATAATAGTAATAAATATACAGTTTTAGAATTTTTTAAAATATAACATTTGAATATTAATGTAGAGTGTTAGAGTACTGAAATAAATAGACTAATAAAATAACAATTATTAACCATGTAAAAATAATATTACAAATTTAAATACTTTTACTGTATGATAAAAATAAATATAATAATAGTATAATTAACTGTAAAAGAATAAATTATGCAGAAAATATAGAACAATAATATATAAATATCATATAAAACATCATAATTATACATTACATTATTATTAGTGCTGTCAACCGATTAATCGTGATTAATCGCATCCAAAATAAGTTTTTGTTTACATAATATATGTGTGTACTGTGTATATTAATATGTGTATATATAAATACTCACACATGCATGTATATATTTCAGAAAAATGTTATGTTTATATATTAAATATATGTATTTATAATATAAATTGTATGAATATAAATTTAGACATGTAAATATTTTCAAAATATATACTATGTGAGCCTATATATTATATATATATATATATATATACTGTATATATAATAAATATACACAGTACACAG